TGCCGTGTAAGCTGCTATTATACCAGATATGGATAATCTTCTACTAGGGGCAATGATTATCCATAATGGAGTACTGAAAGGATAAGCTCATTGTACCCGGTATGGATAATCTTCTACTGGGGGTAATGTTTATCTATAACCAGGTACCGAAGTGATAAGCTTATTATACTCGATATAGATAATCTTCTACCGGGGGTAATGTTTATCCATAATCGGGTACCGAAGTGATAAGCTTCTTCAGGAAGCTTATTTCCAATAGAGTACTCAATAGATAAACATATTTACGGCGGAGTCCCATATGGATAAGCTTCTTCAGGAAGCTTATTTACAATATAGTACTAAATGAACATCCATAATATATTTATAACAGATTGCTATTTTTCTCCGTTTCCTTTACCATAGTTTATGATTTTGAAATCTTTTATCTTTCATAAAGTAGTCAGTAGTGAACTTTGAAACTGCAACTCTCTCCTCTTTATTATTCCACTCATAACTTTCTTTTGGTAATGAGAGAAAGTTAAGATCAGAAATAAAAGATAAACAAACATTATAAGCAAAATTAACCTAGAATCCTCTCTATATGCTGTGAAAATATAACGACCATATATGTCTTTTTACCTCGTTAATTTCCAATTAGTCAGGAGTTAGCTTAAATTCCATTACATTTTGAGACACATGAACCAATGATAGTCTTGCTTATGTAAATTTCATTTTTAAATAACAATTATACCCTTCAAAAGCAACTAATTAATATGCAAATAATTATTAAAGAATTCTATTCACGCCGCATTATTGGTGCCCATCCTAAACAATTTGTTTTTATTAAAAGTACTATTAATTCATTAACATATTGAGTCAAAAACTCTCAAAAGTCAACATTTCCAATCATCAAGATCCATCTGCTCCACTTGGAATTATGTGTATTAGTCAACATGTTCAATTCTTAAACAACATGAAATGCTTCATTCAATTTTTTAAGAAAAGAAATCAATTATACAAACTAATTGAGCTAGAACACATTATCTGTGCATCATCTCCTACTTAATTTTCTTGTTTATAAGCCAATAATGGACCAAGTGTGAAGGGTCTTGGGAGGATTAGATTCTAATAGACTCACTTAGAATATTTTTGACCAATTCTAACTACATTGGCATTCTTCCTCCTCCATTTTTTATTAATCAATAATTTCTTTAATCTTACTTTAAATATCTAGGATTCCTATCATATGATCAGTGATCAAATTGACTGCTTATGTATAAATAAATATTCAACTAAAAAAAGCTCTCCTTTTTACCTGACATAATTACTTTATTGTATAATTTTATAATCATCAACTGGCATAAAATAATAGTAAAACTTAGACCTCCAAGAAAGTTATATAGAAGAGTAAAGTTGACAACCATCAAGTAGCAAAATAATCTAAATACTAATTTTTGGAGGAAAACTAGACAAGGTCAGGTCATAGTGCAACTGCACCCTTTATTTTCACATACTAAATACTCCATTTTATAATCTTTTGAATGGTATAGATTTCTACTCCAAGTCTTTGCCCATTAGTCAAGGTCTTTGAAGACCACACACCTCATATAAATTCTTTAGGGTATATATCTGGAAACTTAATTAGGTACGTAAATATCTTCATCTCATTGCCAAGTTTTTCTGTTAAAATAGCGCGGTATAGTCAGTTTTTGGACTGGTCACTCAAAAATAGCCAGCGTTTACCAAGTCAATGAAAAATAGCCACTATTTTGCTGCAGCAGAGACCGGTCCAGCATAATATACTGTAGTTCGGTGCACCTGTGTATGAACTCCAGCATATTATGCTGGACTGGTATACTTTGTTGGCTCCAGTATAATATATTGGAGACTGGAGCACCGGTGCTCCAAACTCCAGTATATTATGCTGGACCGGTATACTTGTTGGAACTCCAGTATATTATGCTGGAGTTCTAGTGTACTTATGCTGGGACTCCATCATATTATGCTGGAGTTCCAGCGTACTTATCTTTGAACTCCAGTATAATATGCTGGAGTTCAAGTATACTTATGCTGGAACTCCAGCATAATATGCTGGCGTATTTTTCAGGTTTTGAACAGTGTTTTCGCTCAGATTTATCTTTACATAAAAAGTGGCTAAATATCGATTACTTTTGAAACTGGGCTATTTTTGAACGACCAGTTGTAAATCTGGCTATTTTTGGATTTCACCCGGTTTTTCTTTCCTAACCCCATTGCTAAGTAAGGCCCGTTTGGCCATTAAAAAAATTACTCTTTCTTCCGAATTATTTTTTTGTACGTTTTCCGGAATTATTGTTTGCCCATAAAAATTTTAAATTTCACCTAAAGTTAAATTTTGAAATTTGAAAAACTCCAAAAAAACTGTTTTTCAAAATTTTCACTTCAAAACATTCACAAAAATAAATAACTCCAAGTTATATTCATGTCCAAATACAAATCTAATTTTCAAATAACATTTTCAACTTTTTTTTTCCACTTTTTCCTGGAATTTCCAATTCTTATGTCCAAACGCCCACTAAGTCTTCATATAGGTGAATCATTTTAATTCATCTCAAAAAGGGGGGGGGGGGGGGGGGGGGGGGGGATAAAAAACATCAGCAAGTCTTGTCAGATGCATATGCTACTGATTTGGATCTAATTAGCACTTCGAATTAGTGAATAATCTAGCTGTATTAAGCGCTTAGGCTAATATGGGATGACAAGAAAATTGATAGAAAATATATGGGATAATTGCATAAAAATACAGTTCGCGTTGGTGCTTTTCATCTGCATAGCCATCATTTTAAGTTTTCATCAGTATAGCCCATGAAAGTCTCACAATATGACATCATTGTCTGGATATAACTTTACAGATCTCTATGTGATTTTTTATTCTTTGAACACAACCAACTTAAATCGATCATATACATTCCTATTGCAACTACAACAATGCAAACCAACTATAATGCAACTTGAAAAAAATTTAAATTTTCTTCTGTCACAAGTTCTAAATAGCAGAAACAAAAGAAATAAAAAATAAAAATTGAAACAAATTGCGACAAATTCGCAATTTGGCAGAGAAATCAACAAAAAATTGACTTTATACATCGATTGTTCTAGAAAAAGTAAGAAAAAATTTAATTTCAGTTTTAAGTCCACATATGTTGTACATGTATAAAAATATATAACTTAGTATAAACTAGTATATGGAATGTATAATATTGTATTCCAGTATTTCACCAACCCAGAAAAGCAAAGTTAGCTTTAACTGCACATGTGAAAGAGGAACTTACTTCAAAGAGAAAGACCACTGCACCAAAGTCAAAAAGAAATCGCGAATAGAAGGAGTAATGTTGTATAACACTATTTACACACCTAATATACAACATTATATAATATTATACACTTATTATAATTTTGTATAATGCTGTATAATATTGTATAATGTTGTATACGAAAACTAAATTTTACCTTCAATTTCCTTTTTCAACTGGTATGATTCTCAAAACCAATGTTAATCATGCTCAATCAACCCAGTACTCTAGATTCAAGTTACTAAAAGCTTTTCAATATTTTTAGCTTCACCCAAATAATTTCACCGATATTAATCAACACCCATTTGATTTTTCCACCAAAATACATCTTCCTCGGGTCTATTAAAAAAACACATAAATTGGAATAGCTTACAATCTCAGTCCAGAACTTCAATCTTGAAGAAATTTCAACAAAAATCAAGAACCCAGTTCGGCTTTTTCAGTCCAGAATTTCAATCTTGAAAATTTTTTAACAAAATCAAGAACCCATTTCTTTTCCCAAGTTTACCTCACCAAATTCGTTCTCAAAGAGTTGCAAAGTAGTCCAACTGAACCAAATCTCTAGGTTGAAGCTTCTTGGACTATTATCAATTAATTTCACTAGCACCCACTAGAATTTGAGCATGATTCTTTCATAAATTTTCAGATCTGAAAAGCTTCTAACTCCCTCAACCTAATTTTTGGTTTGGATATCAAAATCTTGACTTCACAACAAACTTAGGAGAGGTGGCCGCTGGAGGGGAGAGAAGAAGAGGGGAAAATATAAAAGAGATGAGTGAAGATTGTTTGGGTTAAACATTGAAACTTTTATTTCAAGATATACAATATGGGCCTCAGTGTATAAGATCCCAAAATATGGGCTCTTTATGGTTATAGAACTGGGTGGAGTGATATGCAGTGTAATTGTTTCAAAATATATTTCTCAGAAATTTTTCCTGTCGTTCACGATCTTCTATAAAGAAAAATGAATGTCGCAGACTTGGATGTATTTGTTTGAAGGGAAAAGAAAAATATATAATAAGAAAAAACATTTTCCAATACCAAAAAGAATCTCTTTCCCTTCCTGGAAACCAAGATATGTACTACTACTACTTCTGAATTTCTAGCAAATTGGATTATACTCTATGCAAGATCATTGTCCATGTCGCTTCCTAAGCTTGTCTCAGTCCAATATTATAAAATTGCACGTTATATAAGTGCTTTTCAAAAATATAGTTCCCCAAAATACTTAATTATGTATCATACTGAGAATATCTTTTTTTTTTCCCTCTCTAAGATTACTTTTATCATATAGTTATATACAAATAAATTTTCTTTGGCTTCAGAATTTTGCTAGATTTTCAATGTTGCATTTCCAAGACACTTACAAAATTTTCCATTCTTACTTCATCAGAAACTCTGCACTTTAGAACTAGACAGCAAGAATGGAGCACCCTTCCCATAAAACTAGGGAACTCAGGTTTCCCAATTTCTCCACCAGACCATATTTACCAAGACATCTTCTCTGCCCTGTCCAGTTGCCAATCCTAGATGCTGCAACTCATTTTTTTTTTCCTCTCCCTACTGTCCAATAAAAAGCCGCCAATTAAACGTTTAATGGTGGTGGCTTTCCATTAGATCAGCAAGAGTAATCCTTCCACAGTTGCCAGCGTCCAGCCGTTCAAACTGCTTGCAAATCAGCATTACATCCTTGTCTGAGATCTTCCCCATCTCCTTTAGTTTGTATATCACATATTCTGCTTTACTGCAACATATAGAAGATGCAAAATCAATAACATGTTCTAATTCTACTGACACACAGAGAAGGTGCAAAAGCAGGCCTGGCCAGCCACATATGTCTCATAACCATATAATCAAACTTCCAGTAGGCAAAGTTCAAGAATCAACTAGCACTAGTGGGAATTTAAGCCAAAAACGACTCTGACAGTTGATCAAAGAAAGACCAAGTAGTTGAAACAAGTGCAGTAATAATACTGTGAAAAAGAAAAAAGATCACCTACCGATAAACATATCAGATGCAGTCTAAAAACCCCTTCATTCAGCTTGGCAAACAAGTCAACTAAACCAGATACCATCATACTACATTTTTAAATTTGCTATGCAATTCCAACTTTTTGTTTAAGTTTCAGGTGACTACTTAGCAATATCTAATTAAAAATGCTCAAATTGGACACTAAAATTTTTGTGCACCACTTGAGAGTTATGATCAGAAAGGTTACAGGATTGCACATACGAAAACTGGATGGAAAATTGGAACCCAAAAGGTCAAAAGAAAAGAATTGGAACTTCGGATGGCAAGTCAAATTACCTTGCAATTATATTAGAGTCACGCACTGTACGCTCTCATGATTGGGTTAGACTAGAAGAACTCAAGCTACCTTAGCTTCATCGCACAGCTTCACAGAAAGGCCCAAAAATCATAAACCCAATTATACCCACACAAATATTCATGGCAGTCACTGGAAAAGAGGATTCAGATAATTTGACAATTCTAAGTTAAATTTGAAAGTTGAAAATACCAGTTAAATTCAAAGACGGGAAGAGCCAAACTAAAGATTTCTTATGATTCATTTCTAGGCAACATCACCACAGAATAGTTTGGATTTATATGAGTATTTATTTAGGCATGAAACGCCAATTTCTCCCAAGACAGGAGAAGCAACAAAATAATCTTTTTTATAACATAAGCTATTTAATTAATAAAAAGTACCAAGAAAGTACAGGAAATATGTACAAAAATAAGGACTTGTCCTCCACAAGCTTCAGAGGGTCTAACAAAATATTTGTCAGGCTATATACAAAAATTTTCCATAAAAAGAGTAACTTTTCTTTACATCTATATTTTACATATGAAATATGGTCTTTTTCCCCTTCAAAACATTTGCCGTTCCTCTCTAGCCAGACTGTCCATATAACATACAAAGGTTTCCCCTTGTCCATGGAATCCTAATAACTTTATTTAGTTGTATTAAAGTTATTAGGACTTCCATGGATAAGGGGATACCAAAATGTAAATCTGAAATGAGTCAGTGCATTTCTGCCAATATTGATCGAGGTCCGTGTACAAAAGATATTTACTGACCTTTAGTATGTGGTTAGACCATGCCTCGAATTAGTAGGTAAAATGATTCATCAACTATCTATACTTGGATACAGGTCAGAAATCAATCTGGCATATGCTTGAATGTGAAAGGTAGAGATCCTAAAGTTCTATGCAGTCTCAACCCAAAAGTAGCAAAACAAAAGACTCTCATCTAGCCAAATAACTTGATTAAATTTACTACGACCAACACTCAACTTTAACTATCACTGCCACTGAAACAATTGCTAGGGCTGTTTAGAATAACTGATCTACGTAGTTGATTGGTTCATAAGCTAGTGGAATCAGAATAAGCCCATGAATATAAACAGGGACAAGGATGCCAAAGTTTATCCATGAGATGAGAGTTTGCAAGTATTTCAAAAGACACAGACCTAGGACAAGAAGCATACTTAAGCTGTTAGCTTAGCTATGCTAAATAAATTTACTGAAAATGCTCCAAGAATCTTGAGATATCACCTTTAATAAGCAACTTGAGAATTAAGTATCATGGTTATTAGCTAAAACTCTTCTCTCTCGAGTTAGAGATGGCAGATTTTTAAAATGGTCTTGCTAATTGGTGTACTGCATGAGTAAATCCCTTCTGGTGTGTAACATATTCTTATTAGCAACAAAGCTACATAATGAAAGGTCCATGTTACTTCATCCTTATACATGGAATTGTTACTACAGTGCATAGTAGAGATTGTTGCCATCTTAACTGAATAAAAAGTTGAACCAGAAAAATCATATCGAATTCATTTCGACGAGGTGATCAATTTATATATTAATCATTCAAAACCAAATAAAACGAAACGAATTAACTCAAAAAGAATCAAAAACCAAACCTAATGAAACCAAATCATATCGAACCGAACAAACACACACCACTCACACTTTAAGGCCATTGTTAGTTGTCTGTTAACCGTAATGGTGCACCTGCCGCCTTCAAATTATGGGACCAACCCTGCTTGTGATGAAGATTTTTTTTTTTGGATCAGGAACTTTGTTTCTGGTGAAGATTATTCTTAATGGCTCCTACTTTGATTAAGTTAATGTCTTGCAGACCATATAACCGTAGAGTGGAGTGGAGTGGATGTCTGGCAGTTCACGGATCAAGATGTAGAACTAACACTAGTTCTTGCCTATAAATGGGCATGTTTTATCTATCAGACATCATGCATTAGCTCAACTCTTCAGTCTTGTCTCTTGTTATTTTCCCCTTTTGGGATCTTGTAAAGAGTAATATTGTGAGAAAAGTCAGTATTGAAAACACTTTGTACAAACCTCTTTGTGAGTGAACTTTGTAAGGTGATTCTCTCTGGTTTGGGTTAACTAGATTACCGAGTCTAAATCCGTACTCTTTGTTATATATTCTGAATAAAGTCGATATGCTCCTCTCAAACAATTAAAGTTAAAATTTACCGAATCACTAAATTTTTTCGTCTTTAATGTCTTAGCACTATCATTAAGGGTTCCTAACAAGTACACCTTATTACGAGCTATGTAAGCTACTAAACTTATGGCAGGCATATTCAGGTTTTTTTAACAATTACTGTCTGTACAAGGTATACTAGGTACATGAGCAATAAAAAGAATGACTCTCTGATATAACTCAAACTGATGGTAATATTTTTGGACTAGTTTACTTTACTCTGGCTGTCATGTGTTATCCTCCTATCTTCCTAACTTGGTGCCTCTTTTTGTTGATTGTAGATCAATGTACTCTGGAACGATTTTTATTTCATCCTGAGCAAATTATAATATTTAATAAACTATTGATGCATGATGACTGTGTGCAATACTATAACTGGATAAAAAGATAAGAAAGGAAGCATTACAAAAAGGAGAGAAGGGGAATGAAATCTAAAGCTATCAAAATATGCAATGAGTGCATCTCATAAACTGAAACAATTTTTACGAGAAGTGTCATTAACAACCATTAACTACCTACGGATTTTGGAGAGCTTACAGGACGTATAGATCTTACATATCTAAAAGTTTAGACTTCTTCCTTAACAGGACTAAATCAAGTATAAAGGTTCAAAAAGTAAGTAGCCGCAGGCAGAAATCAAACCAAAACCACATTTTACCCTTTTGGTGCTCTATTAATGGAATGGAAAAGCTAAATTATCCCTGCATGTTAACTAGAATCTTCTACACTCATATGTATGATGGTCGCAGTTTCTGCCTATTTCTGCATCTAAACTTAAAAATCAACATGCTTTCAACTTCTTCAAGTTCTAGTAACTTCTCTATGCTAAATTCATCTGGCTAGCATATCTCTGAAAGCTGTAGAAAGGAGGACAAATACCAACCAAATATACAAACATCAGGAAGATCAAGATCAAAGCATTGCTTGCATTGGAGGTAAAACAGTAAATACAGTTTCAATTCGTACAGCACAGACAAGTTGTGAGAGTGAAGCTAAAATGACCAGGCTTGGCAACAAATAAGTGTTATGATCAGCGTGGTCACTTTAAGTGCAAAAGAACCAAATATATAAGAAAGTGGAGGTGCAACAAAGAGGATTTTTTCATCTCTACGTACCATGTACTGTACCTTTTCTCTGAATTAGGTTATGGGCAGTTATATTTCGCGTAGGTTATTTTGCATTTTCAAGCAAGGCCATTTCCAAATGGACCGATGTCAACAAATTAAGCCAGACCGTATCTTGGATGGCAACTACTGGCAAATTCACGATTCAAGCAATCGTTTGTAATCTGCATAGATCCAACACGGTCTTATGCACATGTGTTTTCCAAATTTCACTTCTTGCTAAACATGGGTCAAGCATTAGTATGGAGATAAGCTTGCACAGGCTCAGAGCACATATCAAGCTCGGTGTCTCCTTTATTATCTACATTTTTTTTACATGTCTCCTTGGATTTTTTTAATGAAAAAGGTAATGCTTTTCATTAAAGAGTACCAAGAAAGTACCAGAAAGAGTACAAACTAGGAAATTTCCTTCTATATGTTGAAGGAATGCAAAAGATCTAACATATACCAGATATAGTGTACTTCCTAAACCATAAGTATTGACTCTTTTAAACATCAAGATTCAACATGGAATATGTTTTCTCTCCTTAGATATCTATATTATTCAGTTATGCTCATCAAAATTCTGAAAAAGCACGTCAAGCAACAAAAACAGAGCAAGTCATTAGAGGAAGGAAATCTGCAATTAAAAATATAAGCTCTGTGCTTCACCAACAAATAAATCCTTAGAGATAAAAGCTTCTACGCACATGATCATCCCCTATTCCTTTGTTCTGCCTACTTCAATGATGAAAAATTCTCTCTTACAAGAAATGAAGCCAATATATATCCTACCGCTTGATTCCAATGAACCACTAGCCTCTCAACATTGACCAATTTCTTTTGTCAGTTGGTTTGAACAGAAAACTTCTGTACCTTTTCTTGAATGTGAGAGAGTTCATCTACTATGACTGCACCCTGAATTCAGTATTCTAAGTGCGATGTTAGAAAGTAAAGTATACAAGCCATAAAACCTGAAAAGCATTTAAGTCTAAGAAATAGGATCTTGTCGTGTTTACTCATAGCTACTTCAGTTACTCTTTCGCTTATAAAATTAAGGGGCATAAAAGACAAATCAGCTTTCCTACATAATAATTCCAAGAGATCCACAATCTGCCAGGTATTTGTGTTTTCTGCTAAATTGATCGAATGAACGGTCCCATCCACAAATTAATATTCTAGACGAACTACAGGTTTGAGTTTTGACTAATTTGTTTGTGTCGAAACTCAGGTTCCAACAGACGCAAACAACTAAAGTCTAAAGGGCAAAATCATATGACACTACATTCAAAGGTAAAATCCAAGCATATATCTCATCTACAGATTCCTTGAGTTTGACTATGGCAAGTATCAGCAAATAGAGTAAAAACTTATGAAGTTATTTTAAGACAAATAGCAATAATATCAAGAGGAAAATACAACTTTTACCTCACGAATCCATTATTATCAATGTCCGCAGCAAGAAATTGTGAAACAGTCAAATCCTGATCGAGCACCCATTTTGCCATTCTCCTATGACGTTTATCTACTCTCGCCTCAGCCAAGTAAAGAAAGGCTCGAGCAACTGCAAGTGTAGACACAAGCAACCAAATGGATGCAAAGATACGACCAGCCATTGAATTGAACGCTCTATCGCCATACCCCACAGTGGTAACCGACATAACTGACAAATAAAATGCATCCAACCACCCAAGCTTCTCAACAAAATGCATAACCGCAACCCCAATTCCGATACACAGGACCACAACACCCAATGCCAGTGCCACCTTCATTCTTATCCTCATTCTCCCCTTCTTCACATCAATAATATAAGACCTAGCATCATGTACACTCCCACTTTTAATACTCCTCAACAGATAGCTCTCTTGCAAATCAAGCACATAACTAACCATCCCAGTAAGCAGAATATCGATAAACCCGAACCCCACAAGCACAAACAAGATGGAAAACAACTTGGTAGGTGTACTATCAGGAGTTATATCACCATAACCAATAGTACACATAGTAACAATGCAAAAATACAAAGCATCAACAACAGGGTGAGTCTCAGTAGCCTTAAAATGATCCTTAAATAAAGAATAAATACCCACACCAAGAGTCAAGTAAAGAATCAAAAGCACAACACCTTGTCCTACAATTGTATTTTTACCAAACTGGGGTGGCTTAGGAACTGGTGAATGGTCAATATCATTAATAGCAGCCATAGCTGGTGCAGTTTTGGACCTATGAAGATTACTCTTAGTCCAAGAAGGATAATTTGGGTCAAGCAACCAAGAATTGTTAATATCAGTGTTTTCAAGATTGGATTTTTGGGCAGAAGAAGAAGAAGCAGAGAGCTCAGGACAGATGAAGTTGTTAAAGGTGAAAGCATCAAGAGCAGTGGCAGAAGCTTCGGAGGGACCAAAGATAAGGCGTTCTTTGAGTTCAGAAGGGGTAAGAGGGGGAGGGATTGAAATTTCATTGTCTTCAGGCAAAGGGCAAAGGGAGATAGGGGGTGGGTATGGGGGTGGGTGGGGTGGTGTCCTCGGGCTGACATAAGGGAGGAGAGGCTCTTTCTCCATAATGGGTTCGCCGGAAAACGGCTAATTCGCCGGTCGGAATACCAGAAACGAGGAGATAGTCCTTGAAAATGGCAGTTTACACGTGACACCCAATTTCTGAGTCTCGGTGCTATGGAACAGAAGAGACTATGAGAGAGGAATAAGTCTTGTTTGGCTATCCAATAGGAACAAATTAGATCATTATTATCCTTGGTACATTAAAAAGTTACAATTAATTCTTTTTTTGGCTATCAATCCATGACCTATTTAAGTGTAGATAATATTAGTAAATGATTAGTTTATTGGGCCCTCTGTCTTTCTACATTGAGCTTAATACCTATATATTTCATATTGTAAGTATATAAGTACTCTACCGAGTGACAAAATGTACTAATTGTTAATATTGTGTTTGTTAACCAAAACGATTTTTATAATATAAGTAGTCTTGTTATACGTTGTCAACTTGTCATGTCTTTATCTTGTTTCTGACAAGCTAAAACACTCCACGTACACTTATGTCAAGTGGATTTATTGTGTATAACAGTATTAGCATGTATTATCTTATAAGTCGGGGTTTTGTGCTCATCTAACGATTTTCCACAAAAATGGTGACAAAACGTATAATTTGTACAAATTTTTTTATTTTTCAAGATGATCCGTTCCATTAGTTCGTAGAGTTATTTACTCGATCGCAGATATTTCTGAAATACCTCTTTACTATATTCGTCGTCACCGTTTTTCTAGGAATTGGGTGGTCTCTATTGCTCATATCTACGTGAAAGCTAATTTAGTAGCTGATGGTTTAACTATTTGGCCTTTAGTCCGGATTCTCATTTTGAATGATATGCATTTGTGTTTTCAAGCATTTCTTCGCGTGCAACGGGAGATGTTGTTAGCGTTTCATCTCCTCGCGAATTTTTTTATTGCTTTGTTTCTCTTCCCGGGAAAAAAAAATTAGTAAGTTCCGCTCAGTAACTGTGCTTGGTTTAGGGGTAGTTTTGCACGGTTTTTTTTTTATTATTTTTAATTCTCTCCCAATTTAAAAGGATCTATAGTGTTTTTACACTTTTCCTCCAACATAACTCAAACTCAGGACTTAACGATCGTAAGTGGAGGTGCTTTAACAAATGAGCAAACCTCACTAGTTTGTTTTGCACGGTTGAATTCATCAATAAGCAAATGTGGAACATTTGTAAACGCAAAAGAATTTCTCGAATTCAGTGACGTGATCCCCATGACTCAAAGTTACAGATTGCCATACTCTTAACGTGTGCACATATCTTTTAATTAAAGTTACTGTAGTATTCACTCTTCAAAAAATAAATTTAATCGTAACATTAGTTTACCATATTGTGTCGCTCTTTTAATTTTTCAAAACTTATCATTTTTGGCATGGCTTATGCTAAACTACCATTCTGCGAAAGGTAGTTGAACATACTTTTCGGACGAGAGGAAAATGTCACCTTTTCAAAATGTCTCCATTCTTTACCATCTCCAATTTTTCGCATCCCAACAATTTAGAAGAAAAAAATAATAACAATAAAAGTAATTTATAGTCAAACATGAGAAATCTTAGTTGGTGTTTATACTATACTAATAAATATAATTATAAAAGTCATAAATTTAAATATGTATCATCTTATCATTATTAAGTGATACTATATTTTACATGAATCTTTTATGTATTCATTTGCTTAGTGTAAATAATGAATGGCGTATTTTCCTTCAAACACTATACACGTTTCGGATTTTTACTCCCTCCGTCTCGAATTAGATGAGGTGCTTTCATTTTTAGTATGTTTTAAAATAAATGATACATTTCTAAATTTGGAAATGATTCAAGTTTAAACTCTTTATTTTATCCCATTTTACGCTTGATGAGAAGCTTTTATAATCACACAAATGTCATGGCCCCGCAAAGTTTTTACCTCTTAAGCTTTTAAGACCACAAATTTTAAAAATCTTCTTTTTTTCTTAAAATTATGTGCCGAATCAGACCAACTCATCTAAATTGAAACGGAAAGAGTATCTCACATTTCCGTAGTCTCCCAAAAGGAAGAATATAACAGTTTTGTGTATTTGCAAACCAAACGCAATTTGGAGGTTGACGGCTGGATTGCAAGGCGGTACCTGTATATTTGGGGAAAGTAGTTGTATGCTCTTTTTGTCCCATGACTTATTTTTCGCACCCAAACGCGGCCTTGTTGTACAATCTTTTCCATAATTGTTTTGATTCAGTCACAAGTTTTGCGGCATCTTTTTTCGTTTCCATTAATTCGTACTTTCGTTGAACTTTACAAAAGACGTCATGTCTGTTGCCACATCCACGCGCTCTTCTTGGATTTTAGCTATTAGTCCCAACAAATTTTAAAAGGAAAAATGATGGGACGCATCAAATATTTATATTGTATTTTTGATTCGTAATTATACTGTTAGCAAATTTATTATTTGTAGCTATATTTAAATTTTATAACAAATTCATAAAATAAGAGATTAATTATTTTCAACTGAAATAAGCTCTCATAGCTCAGTTGGTTAGAGTGCTTGCTTAGCCAGCGAAGGTCTTGAGTTTGAATCTTAACAAGAACATTTTACTTTTCTGCATTTTTTGTATTTCGCCTTAGTTGTATTCGTTGTGCGAACAAATACAGTCGATACAGGTTTATCCTTTGTATACTCCCTTGTATTTCGCCTTGGTTACAATTTATTCATATTGTATTCGTGCCTTGGTTACAGTTGATTCATACTGTATTCGTTGCGCGAATGAATACAATTGCGCGAACGAATACAGTTGATACAGGTATTCGTTGCGCGAACAAATACAGTTGACACATATTGCATTTGTTGCGCGTTTGAATACAAGTGATACAAGTTAGTAACAACTGAACAGTAGCTACGAATGATAATTAGGCAAATTATAGTTATTAGGTTCTAAACTATAGTCATAACACATTCACCCCAATATTTGAGGGGAATGTTAGATTGAAAGAGAAGGGCTCTGGAGATTTCCAATAAATGTTTGTGTTTCTTTTCAACTACCCCATTTTGTTGAGGGGTGTGAGAAATAGTGGTCGATGGAGGATGCCTTGGCTTGAGAAGAACTTGGTGGCTTCAGAACTTCCACCAAGTTCAAATGCATTATCAGACCTAAAAGTTTGGACATAAGATTTAAAATGGACTTTAACCATAACAGTAAAAGCTTTGAGGATAGAAAGAGCATTGCTCTTGCAGGAAAGGAGATGAGTCCATGTAGCTCTAGTGTAATCATCAACTAAGGTTAAAAAATATCTGAAACAATTGTAAGTTCTAGTGTTATATGGACCCCAAATGTCAATGTGCACTAGTTGAGGGGCAGAAGTGTGTATAACACTTTCAGGAAAAGGCAATCTCTGTTGTCTTGCTAGAGGACACACAGGACACATGAAATTTTGTTTAGAAGACACCTTATCAGATAAAAAAGGAATAGTTTTCATTCTATGATAAGGCATGTGCCCTAACCTTTGATGCCAAAACAAGTCCAATTTATTATGGCAATGAGATTTATTACAATCAGGAGTACCATTAGCATGTGTAAGAACATGACTTGACTTATCAGATACAACTGAAGCAGAAGCAGGTAAAACACTAGAAGTAGAAATAGAACTAGGCAAACAACTAGAAGAAATATTCAGAGAATCAGATGGAACAGGAAAGAGATCACCATCTGGATGGAGGTACTATAGCCTGCCTGCAGCTTTACCAATTTCCAGTGGCCTCTTCAGAGAAGGGCCCTGTAAAGAACAAATAGATTTGGTAAAGAGTTCTTGACAATCTAGTTGACATATAAGTTGATGAACTGATATCAAATTGAAATGAAAAGAGGGCACCAGAAGAACATGAAGTAAAATTATATCATGCCTAAGATACAGAGATCCAGTTGACGCAACTTTAGCTTTATATCCATTAGGTAGAGTAACAAGGAAAGGTTTGATTAATGGTGGACATTAAAAAGAAGATGTTTATGTGGGGTCATATGGTTTGTGGCCCCTGTATCTAAGATCCAAGGGTTGACACCTAAATGGGAAGATGCACACACATAAGAAGCCTCAGAATCTACAGCATACTTGCTAAACAAACCTGCAAAGTGTGCAAAGGCAGATTGATCCACATTAGAGGCATCAGATGTGGAAGTGTTTGACATTTGAACTTGTTGGAACAAAGTCAGCAGGTGTTGATACTGCTCCTTGGTAAATCCATGTGCTGAAGGTTCAGCTTGCTGAGAAGTAGTAGTAACAGCAGTGTTGGATGGACTTTCTGTCTGAACACAGGAGGCATATCTCTTACTTTTAGTGAACTTGAAATCAGTAGGGAATCTATGAAGTCTGTAGCACTTATCTACAGTGTGGCCGGGCTTCTTGCAATACTTGCAAGAGACATTTGGAGCAGCTTTCCTGGCCTCAAAGTTCACTTTTTGACTGAAAGTTCTGTTTGTATATGAAGGACTAGGAGACACCAAAAAGGAAGTTGCATCACCAGATAGGTTAGGAGCAGTAGAGTGAGCTTCCCTTTGACTCTCATCTTGTTGTAAAAGACTATAAACTTTGCTGATTGGTGGGAGAGGGTTCATTAACATGATAGCACTTTTAACAGTTATGTATGAATCATTTAGACCATTGAGGAACTGAAATAATTGTTGGTCCTCTATGAATTTAGGCAAAGCACCACATGAGCAAGTGGGTCCTACATATGAAGAATTCATCTCATCCCACAAACTTCTCATCTTTGTGAAATAGGAGGCTATATCAGAGGAGCCTTGACTAGTAGAGCTGATTTCCCTTTGTATTTGAATGTATTTAGACCCATTTGATTGGCCAAACCTTTCATTTATGTCTTTCCAGACTTCCTTAGCAGTTTTAAAACACATTATACTAACAGCTATTTCTCTAGATACTGAATTGGTTATCCAAGCTTTAACCATATCATTGCACCTTTCCCAATATGGATAATAAGGAGATTCAGGAGTGGGTTGACTGACTCTACCATCTAGTAGGCTGAGTTTATTCTTTGCGGAAAGGGAAGTAAGCATACTGTTACGCCATAATACAAACCCATGGAACAGATACCAATTGACTTCCAGGATTATCTGAGGGATGGATATAGAACGGATGTGAAGGATCCAAGGAAAAGGGAACAAAACCGTTGGAAGTTGAAGAGGAATTAGTTTCATCTACTACAGACCCCATTTTCACCAAAAACTA